GGTTCTGAGACATTTGAAGCCGACCACCAAGTTGTATTCTTTGTATCATCATCATAAGCTTTTTGCCCTAGACAAGTTAATTCTCCTACAGAAGTATTATACATCATTCCTTTCCTCGCTATGCAAACATAACCTATGATGGAGGTCTTCAATCTCCACTCAGATTTACCTCTAACACTCATATGATAGTCGGCTTGTGTAGATATTAATTGGTCAACTGCCTCAGAACCGGACATTACCTCCTTTGCTTCCCAAGGCCATTGGTCTCCCATGTTAGTACCTCCACACACATAGCAGTTGGTAACATTAAGACTACCGGCAATACTCTCGGCTAAATCAATGAACAAGTTTTTAGCATTATGGGGGATCTTATTATCTATGCTCATCTCTTCATAAAAGGAATGGTATACTTGATGAGTTTGGGAGGTTACCGTATCAGTCTCTATCCCTATAAACAATATTGTCCCAGGGTCTAAACCCGTCCCATCTATTTGAAACCCAAATAAATTACCATATTTATCTAAGAACTTGTCAGGGTTATTTATAAGTATATGGATTGGATTGCATTCCATAGACTTACAATATGGATCAGTAGGCAACTTAGTCACAATCATGTCCTTGTCTGCTGTCTGTCCCCAAGTCGCCCACCCCACACAAGACCAATATGGGCAGAAGTTATAATCTCTATTTGGGCATCTTGGACTTACATATTTATTTTTACTACTGGGACAAATATATTTATCGTTAGACCCATACGTCCTCTCCCATCTAAGATCCCCACATACATTCCACGGCTTTCTACCACTTGATATTGCTTTACACGCATCAAATAGCAGAGCACCTGAAGAATATACGGATTCTAATACCGTCTTATTAATTAGGGTCCCCTGAGGATCTCCATTTCTGAGAGTCAACCAAATTGTACGGGGTTGATACTCAGGACTGAAGCACTTAGGTTCTCCTACTCCTAAATGACACACACTATATTCTATATTTAAGTATCTACATCTTGATACATCTCCTTTACACTCATATTGCGAATGCCAAATTAGGGTCTGGGATATATGGTTACCTGTTCTTGTAGTCTTAATGCATACCTCACAGCTAGGAGTGTCGGTACCTCTACCTTCCTGAATATAAAAATACACATAAATAAACATTATTAAAAATACATCTTTCGTCGTCATCCTCAGTCTTCGTCCGTGCGAAGGCACCTCAGCTTCCAGGATGTAAGGGCTGCAGGGAATGGAGTTCTGCTCGTCTTCACAGGGGTCCCCTCAAGACTTTCCCTGACTTATACACTCGTTGGTGAGTGGACAGGCTTTATTATGGCCTTCTCACTCACTTACCAAGTCTCTGAAACAATAAAATTTGTAATCTACAAGGTTCCTCGTCACTCCGACTGAGTCGTGCGTTTTAACCGGATCTTGCAGGGATTCTCTGGATTTGCTGTAACTTGCCAGGAATCGGCTGCTGCTGGTTTAACCCTGGGGTGATGTATCCACGGAGCCACTTCGGCTACTTTTATCGCTGTAGGGGTAGACAGAAGAACAACATAAGGACCTCTCCACTTGGGCCCTAACGGCACATTATTCCACTCTTTAATCCACACTTGGTCGCCTGGGTGGTAACTATGAATTGGGGGATAAATATTCACAGGTAATCTATCTTGTACCCATTTCTGTACCTCCTCCATAGTCTTACCCAACTCTACAACCTGCTGCCGGGTAATTCCTTCTCCCAACTGACTCAAATCCCCCCTTAAGTTACCAAGCACGGGAGGTGGTCGCCCGTGCATGATTTCAAAAGGAGAGAGGCCCATCCTTCTGGTAGGTGTACTACGGATTCGCAATAGAGCTATGGGCAAGAGAACGTTCCACTTAAGTTGGGTTTCCTGACACATTTAGCCAACTGATTCTTAATAGTTCTATTCATTCTCTCTACCTTACCAGAACTCTGGGGTCTATATGCCGTATGAAGCCTCCACTTTATACCAAGCATATGAGTCAATTGTTGTAGGCACTGATGAACAAAGCTGGACCATTGTCCGATCCTATAGAGCAGGGTAGTCCATATCGGGGTATTATTTCTCGTAGCAGGAATCTCACGACTTCTCCTGCTTTCTCTGTACGAGTAGGACATGCTTCTACCCAGCCTGAATAGGTGCACACCACTACCAGCAGGTAGCGATGTCCACCCGATTTAGGCATCACTGTATAGTCAATTTGTAAATCGGACATGGGAAGTCCCCCCATAAACTGGACTCCTGGTGGCTTTACTGGTCCTTGTTTTGCATTATTTTTAGCACACGTTACACATCTACGTACAATGGCCTGAGTCAAGTTGGACAATCTTGGTATGTAGAAATGTTTTCTGAGAGATTCTTCTGTACTGTCTCTCCCAGAATGTGTCCCGTTATGATAGTTTTGGACAATTTCTTCTACCGCTAGTGATGCTGGAATAACTATTCTTCCATCTTCTAACTGATACCATTTGTTCTCCAAATACTTTCCAGGTTCAGTCCTTAACCACTCCTCTTCTTGAGTTGTATAAATTGGAGTCCATTGAGACAGTGGAGTTGGTATAAGAGCAGCTATATGCCCCACATATTCCTGTCTTCCTGATTCAGCAGCACGCTTAGCTGCACTATCTGCCATCCGATTCCCTTTGCTTACATCACCATCTCCTCTCAGATGCGCCCGACAATGTATAATACCGACTTCTTTCGGCTCCCACACTGCTTCCAATAGTTGTAGGATCTCAGCTGCGTATTTGATTTCTTTGCCTTCTGAATTCAATAGTCCTCTTTCTTTATACAAAGCTCCGTGGGCATGAGTGGTTAAAAATGCATACTTGGAGTCCGTGTAGATGTTCACTCTTAAACCTTCAGCCAATTGTAACGCTCGTGTCAGTGCTATCAATTCTGCCTTTTGTGCTGATGTTCCTTTTGCCAGTGGCCGAGCTTCTATCACCTTGTCTATCGTTGTTACTGCATATCCTGCATAGCGGATCCCTTCTTTTACATAACTACTGCCGCCGGTGTAATATTGAACATCAGGGTTCTGGATGGGAAAATCACGAAGATCTGGTCTACTTGAAAATACTTCATCCATTACTTCCAAACAATCATGTTGACTTTCAGTAGGTTGTGGCAAAAGGTTAGCTGGATTTAAGGTATTTACAGTCTCTAAATGCACTCTTGGGTTTTCACACAACATTGCTTGATACTTGGTCATACGGCTGTTACTAAACCAATGATTTCCTTTGTAATCCAACAACGTCTGTACTGTATGTGGAACTCGTACATAAAGTTCTTGACCCAGAGTGAGTTTATCGGCTTCAGCTACTAGCAGGGCGGCTGCAGCTACAGCTCTTAGACAAGGTGGAAGTCCTCTGGCCACTGCATCCAGTTGCTTAGACATGTAGGCAACAGGTCTTTGCCATGATCCCAAGTACTGTGTCAATACTC